AAAACACAATAACATATGAATTTTTCCGTAGGTAATAACAAAAAAAATTTATCTACATATTTTTCGTACGCAAAATGCGTATGTAAGTGAAACAAAATTTACCTACTAGTTTTTCGCAAGTAAATGAAAGAAAATATACCTACTAATTTTACATACGGATTTATAAAATTAATTATTAAAAGTAAAAGCTAAAAATATACCCCTCTTTTATGATACTCACCTTGCTGCCTCCCTCAATTTCTCAAGCTCACTCTGACACCCTCTCACTCACTCCTAGCTTAACCCTCTTACTCACTCCTAGCTTAGTCCTTCCCACTTTCACTCACTCTCAACTTAGTCTGTCGTTCATTATCATTGGCTCGCGTTGACTCACAGCATTCTTCACTTAGACTATTGTTCATTATCATTGGCTCGCGTTGACTCACATATTCTTGGCTTAGTTTGTCTCTGATGAAGATCGTTCTTCTCGTGGCTTGATGTGGAAAGTAAAGTTCTTCGTTCACTCCTAAATCTCGAAATTCCTAAAACCCAAAATCTAAATCATTCTCTTCTTTTTGTATGTTCACCCTCGCACTTGCTACCTATTCATTCCCCCTCGCTCACTCTCTGATCTTGTTGGTCACCATTCTTTTGTGTTGAGTCTATGAGAAAAATTAATTTATATTTTTTATATCCTAACTCAATAAAAATCAAATGAAAAGTGTGCTTGAATTTACTATTGAGAATAGAATATTATCTTCTCTATAACCATAACCCATTTTATAATTTTGTAAATCACATTACAAATTGTAATAATTTTAATTTGCCTTCTCATCAAATTAGAATATTAATTTGTGTATCAATCGAACAAGTTTTTATGATAAGTACATTCCTAATCATAAACCTAAACTTATAATTTTAACTAAATGGATAATAGTCCAAAATATACGTGACAAAAAACTTCTAACTTTGCATATACTCTGATTAGGGATGTAAATAAAACATGTAGGTATGGGTATTCACAGATAAGTCTTCAATGGATAGTTGGTACCCGTGAGAAGTAAATAACATGTAGTGGGTAACGAATATTATAATACTAATTTATAAACGGGTAGGGTGTTGGTATTATAGTACATGTTCTACGAGTACCCACTACTAGAAAAAAATAAAAATAAAAATTTAATTTATATTTTATTAAATTTAATTTAATTAAAATTAAAATTAATTTATATTTTATTATAGTACCTGTTCTTTAAATTTTTGTCACAAAGTAGATGACTTTAAAAGCTTTCTTGAAACGCAAGGAAAAAGACTTTGTAGTGCAGCAGAATATAGTCAAATGCGTGAAAAATAAAGTCGACTGAATGTAACATAGTAGAGATAGAAAGAGTTTTTATACTGGTTTGGCCAAGCCTACATCCAGTGTCCTTCCACCACAGGAAGCAAATGCACTATAATGATCAAGGTTTTTACAACAAGGCTTTTATAAAGACCTCCACGTCAAAAATATAAAACACCTTTCTAACTCTCTAATCAAAATATAGGCATACAACAAAAAGACCAGCAGCAAGAATCCCCTCTTCTGTTGTCTACACCCTTTGAGAAACCCCTCAAAGTCAAGAACGTCGCACACTCTTCTTCCTGTAATCACAACAGGGAAATAACCCAATCTTTAGTAGATTGTCAACACTGATCTTTCAGTAAACACCTCTCTGTGCATATTTGATTAGCTCTTTCAAAGCACAACAATCTTGCTCTTCAAGAAATCACAAGAGATGATCACCATGGTCTTCTTCTTTGATTCTTGGAGCTTTTCCACATTCTGTAAGATAGCACCGATCTGTAATGAATATGAAAATATTAGAATTCACAAAAGTTCCTAGAGAATTCAAATTCGCGTCTATTTATAGTTTTTCACAATTCTAACGCTCTCAAGTCGACTTAGCTACTGATGCAGTCGAATACAACAATTCAATTAAATTAGTTAGCAGTAATCAATGCAGTTAATTGAATGTACAATTAATACAGTCGAATCACAATATATGTTTGGTCAACATATTTAAAAATATAGCCGTTGTAACATTTAATACAAGCATTAATAGAATTTCAAAACTGTAACAGACTTAGTCGAATGCAGGTTGCATGTAATCGACTATACAACACAGTTAAACAAAGTTTTGAAAAACTTTCTCTTCAAAAATTCTCACAACACACTTTTAAAAAGTTTGTGCAAAGCCACGAGTTTTAATCGACTTACTTCATAATGAAGTCGACTTAAAACTGTTGTTTTGCCACATATTATAAGTTCAACAAAAGTGCTTGTGATTTTCCTTTTCTAGAACATATGTCATGCATTCACATATAAGATCTCATGTAAAACACAGTGAATTGCAATGATCAACACAATACAAACATGTTCTCATATATTCATAATCATGAAAGTAATGAACATGTAACACATAAACACATGTGTTATTAATTATGTGTTGTCATCATAAAAAACCAGAAACTCTGAGATTGTAGATTCAGCTAAACCAGTGCTCCTCCTATCAACAATCTCAACAACATGCAATGCACAATTGGCTCGCATGTAAAGGAACAAAACATACCAAAGAAAAGAGTATAAACTAACTTTATCTTTTACAGAAACTGATCGTATGGACTTGAAGATTTCACCTCGAGGATCGTTTAAGCAGTCTCTGATATTCAAAAAAATGAACAAGGAGTGAAAACTCCTAAAAAAAACTTTAAAAAAGTGATTTCTAGAAAAAAAAAATGATATTTTAAATAATAAAACACATTCCTAACAAGTATTAAAACCTTTTAAATTTTAAAATAATTGAATCTCACTGTTTTTAAACTATTATAAAATACTATTTTCTTAGTATTTACAAAAGATAAAATCTATATTTCTTATTACAATTTTATAAACCCTTTTCCATCTTAATCATAATCTCAATTTTAAATTTTAACTATATTGTGCATCAAAGTGGTATTTATCCCCGAACCTTAACAATTGTAAAAGAAGGACACATTTAAAAGCAAGTTTAATCTAAAACAATTTCGATAGGTAATAATGTACATATTCCAGAACCATCTCAAATCAAACCAGTAGCAAACATAACGAGCATGATGAAGCGTTTGCGTAAGAAGTACTTCATAAGTGCCACCCAACATCATAGTACACAAAAACAAAGTATCTCCAGCTCAACATTAGAGCACGTTGTTAATTAGATCCATCTATATCTACGCTGCGTTGACTCCAATCTATTCAACGACTACCTGCACTCTCGCAGTGTCTCTCTCCATTCCCATTCTCCCTCTCGTCACAAAAACAATGCCTCATTCTTCTTCTTCTTCTTCTCCCGTTTCAACCATTTCCAATCTCCGTATTCGCGCCCTAATACTTTGGTCCTCCAAGAACTACGCAATAGCTGCATTCGTTTTCCTCCTACTCTTCTCCCTCACTCTCTTCTCTCACTTGGATTCCCGTTCCCGTTCGCATTCCCGTTACCCCTCCCATCCACGCTCCACCCTCGTTCCCTTAACGCTCCTCCATAACGCCAACCGAACGCGCGCGCGTACGTCCCTAACGATCCCACGCGCCTCCCTCCTTTTTCGCTTTAACTGAATCCGGAATTTCCATCTGTGTGTGCAGTTTGCTTGGACGGGAGCGCCCCCGGTTACCACTTCCAAAGCGGGTTCGGATCCGGATCTCTCAATTGGTTGCTCCACATTGAGGTTTCTCGTTTTGCTTTTGTAAAATTCTGTATGATTTCTAGAACAGAGAAAAAATGGCAACACACTGCAAGAGAAGTTTGTGTGTATGAGAAACAATTCTTGAGGTGAAAAATATGAAGGAAAAATGAAACGAACTTTTAAAAGTTAAAAATTAATTTATGTTAGAGATAAGAATTTAGAAGAAAAAAATCTATGCATGTATTTATTGCTGTGTTTTTCTTTTTCTCTTATGCTGAAAATTGAACAATACCAGATTTCTGTTTCCGTACTATCGTAGCCTTATACAATGTCCGCTGATACTTAATCCACCTTTATTATTAAATAGAGAAATGTTCTCAAAACACTCCGGCATAAAAATGTAATATAGTTTGGGACTAGTATAGTCACTGGACTATATCTCCATGACGTATAGTTGAATTTTATTAGCTCTTTGTTGATAACTGAAAACTTAGAAATCTGTCACATAGAAATGATGATTTTTAACCATGTCATAGTTAATCTTCTGACACACCTTTTTCAATGCACTCTTTAGAATTTGTTCAATCTGTTGAAAATCCCGAAATAGTAAGGATTTCATTCATTTCTTGTTTAAGAAGTCTTCTTCGTGATTTTATAGTTTCTAATGACTTTTAACTGATAATATAAAGCATGTGAGAAAATGTGTTACTAGCACTTCTCTGGAAAGTATTATTACCTTCCTGGTTTCAATTGTGTGCGCAGGGAGGAGGGTGGTGCAATTCAATAGCTTCATGTACTCAACGAAAATTCACCCATTTGGGGTCTTCCAATTATATGGAAAAAAGTATTCCTTTTTCAGGAATACTGAGCTCTGACCCCTCTCAAAACCCAGGTTAGATATCTGTAACTGTAACGTGCTTATATCGTTGTTTTAACTTTTAAATTCCACAGGCTGCATCTGTCTAGAATTTCCAGCAATATCAAAGTAGGTCACAAACAGATGCAACTTGCAATTTAAACCCTTGACTTATGTACTGTCAAAGTAACATTAACTGCTTTTATCACACGATGGTACTTGCTTGTCAACTATATCTTGATATCTTTCTTTCTTTACTCTAATTCTGTAGGAATTTACAATTTCTTGAAAAGTTTAGCTTCAATGCATTGATTTATGACATTTTCTTATTATCATCCAATTGTGTGATGCTTGCTACATTCTCATGATT